TGCATTCAAGCAGTGGCGAAGCGTCTTGGGTCGCCTTAGGCCGCCCACCACAGAATATTCTGGAAACTTGCTGTGGTTTGCAGAAGATGTTCTGAGGACACTTTTGGCTGAGACTGTCGTGTTTTATCACGTCAGGCTCAAGATCTAGGAAACAGCGCATTTTGTGGTCGCTTGAAAGGGGGTGGGTTGCAAGCGGACCACCCCATGGATGGATGGGGGGGTTCGAGCCCCCCCTCCCGTGACGGAGGGGGGGGGGTCCCCCCCTACTTTTCCTCTCTCCCTCTCCTCGGGCTGGCGCCTGCGTCGACGGCGGCTGGCGGCGGCGGCGGGGGTGCTGGTGGTGGTGGTAATGGTGGTGGTGGTGGTGAGGTGGTTTGTGATAGTTGTGGTGTTGGTGATGGTGGTGGGTTGCGCTGCTGGTAGTAGTGATGGTGGTTGTGGCGGTGGTGGTGGTGGTGTGGTAGAGTGTGGTGGTGGTGGTGGTGGTGGTTGTGTGGTGGTTTGGTGGTAGCGTTGGTGGGTTGAGGTGGTCATGTTGGTGGTCGTGGTGGTGGTGGTGGTGGCGGCGGTGGTGGTCGTGGCGTGGTGGTTTGTGGTGGTGGTGGGCTGTGGCGTTGATGGTGGTGGTGGTGATGCTGGTAGTGGTGCTGGTGGTGGTGGGTGGTGGGTGGTGGGTGGTGGGTGGTGGGTGGTGGGTGGGGGTGGTGGTGGGTGGTGGTGGTGGTGGTGGTGTGGTGGGTGGTGGTTTGTGGTGGTGGTGTTGGTGGTGGGTGGTGGTGGTGGTGGTGGTGGTGGCGGTGGTGGCGATGGTGGTGGTAAAGGTGTGGTGGTTTGTGGTGGTGGTGGTGGTCGTTGTGGTGGGTTGTGGTGGGTTGTGGTGGTGCTGGTGTTGGTGGCGTTTTTGGTGGTGGTAGTGAGGTGGCTTGTGGTGATGTTGGTGGTTGTGCTGGTGATGGGTTGTGGTGGTTGTGGTGGTGGTTTGTGGTGTTGGCGTTGGTGGTGGTGGTGGTGGTGGTGGTGGTGGTGGTGGTGGTGGTGGTGGTGGTGGTGGTGGTGGTGGTGGTATGGTTGGTGGTCTGTGGTGGTGGTGGTGGTGGTGGTGGTGGTGTGGCCTTCGGCTCTTCCCGCCTCTGTGTTTTGGCTGCGGGTCAGAGTTCTAATGGATGCCTCTTGAGCTCTCGTCAGAAGGGTCTCGGGGGCGTCTGAGGAGCATGCGCAGGCTCGATATGGCGATTTGTGTGTTCCCTCTGCGGCCTCTGGGCCTTCTCTGGTCATAGTCGCTGCGTCCCCGCCGTCGGCGCTGCTGGCCGCCGCCAGCGCCGGCGCCGGCGCGGGGGGGGGGTTCTGAACCCCCCCCCCTTGGGAAGGGGGGGGGTTAGGAGGGATCGGGGTTAGGGGGGAGGGGGGTCCCCCTGGTTCTGATCGACGGCGCCGAGTGTTGGGGGGGAGGCCCACCCCCCCGGTTCGAAACCCGCCGCCGAATGTTTCCAAAGCAAGCGACCGTGAAACGCGCCCTGCCGGATCTAAGGAACATCGGTGCTGTTCTTAGAAAATTGTTTGAGGTTCTCAGAACATGTCGCGGTGGGCGTATCGGAATGCCCGGACGGTCGGTCCCTGCTTCGTTCATGGACGTAGTGCCACAACCATCAATTGTTAGAGGTTCGCGGGGGTTTCTCGGATCGGCGCTGGAGCCCCCCTGGCGCGTTCCGCGCACCACGGAAGCGGTCAAGCGCCGAGCCGCGCAGTCCGCGCGGACCCCCGAAAGTCTATGGGGGTGCGTGCTCTTGGAATGATATCAGGAAAGCGGCTCTGGCGCCGCCCTCGAAAATATTCGGGTTTGTCGCTCATCGCGCCCGGCTCCGGCGCGCTTAGCCAAAACATTCAAAGGTCTGGGACACCTCTCCTTTGCGGTGCTCGAGCGCCTTGAGGACTGCGCTGCGCTCCTCGGGGTCCTTGCTCGGTCGTGCTTGCACTGTTTGGGATGCTCTCGGCGTTCTGCCATTCAGCTCTCTGTAGCTGTTCTTTTTTTGGGGGGGGGTCCCGCCTCCAGCCCAAGGCCTTCTAACTCTTGACCTTCCTCGAATGCTCTAACTGGTCTGGAATTGAACGTGTTGTGCGGCGTTTTGCAGCAGCTGGCAGTTGCCAGCTATCGCGAATCTTCAGTTACGTTCATAAGAACATTGCAACAGTATGAGGGAACTCTTTACTGTACTGCTTGCGCAGTTCTCCGCTCTAAGACAGCATGTCCATGTCATTGCTTGTCCTCTAGTTCTGGGTCCCAGAAGAGCCCGTGGAGGCACGGCAGGTCTGCGTCGCATCATCATCGTCAGGAACATTCCAACCCTTCTTTGGACCGAGTTCGGAAGACTCCCCCAGCATACCCAACCAGGGCACCTTGAAAGCCAGAGGGGACGGCGCCCATTCCCGCCTACGCGGATCTCAGTGGGCGGGGCCAAGGTTTTCTTTGTGGGGGTTGGGATGAGTTTGCTTGTCCAGGGTATCGACGGGCGGCGACGCCAGCGCTGGCGTTCAAGGTTGAACGCCGTTGGTCCCCGAAGCCGGTCGACGTCGAAGGATCCATGCTATCAGGGAACCGCGATCACGTCGAACAACCCACGCGGTGTCAGAAGCCAGCGCCGAGGTCGTCAGGACACGAACTTGTCGTAAGGTCAACCGTGGCCTTGGAAGATTGCCCTTGCGTTTTTCGTGATTGGGATCTCCACCTTGGAGTGCTCGTCGCCTGCAATACCTCCCTCCGCGGGGATTTGGAACTCTGGCGAGGGGTCTCGTCCTCTTCGTCCTCTTCTTGTGGACGCGTTTCGGCTGTATGCCCCCCCGCCAGAGGAGGCGCGGTGAAGCCTGGGCGGGCGCCAGCGAGCCACCGCTCTGAGCGCGCACTTCGTCGTCCCCCTCGCCCCCATCTCCCTCCGTACCCTTTTGGTGCTCCTTCGGCTGCCGCTGCTCCTCTTCTCCATCCTCGAAGTGGGTGGCCGGCCACCTCCTCTGGATCCGAAGCAGCAGTTTCAAATCGACACTCGCGCCAGGTGACCCCGCGAGCGCTTTCGCTTTGCCATTATCGCCGTCACGTCCTTCAGCTCCTCCCTCCTGCCCGTCGCGCGGAGCGAGGAGGAGCCCAGCCCGTGTGCAAATCAACGGGGTTGCCGAAAGCTGCGCTGGCTCGGGTTCAGTCGCAGCCTCCGTCCAGAGTGGAGGTTTGGGCAGGATTTCGAGGAGACAGAGTCCGCCACACAGTCCTCCGCCGTCTTGCTGTTCCTGGTCACTTGCGGCAGGCTGCCGCGTCGCCAGCCGACCTTATATAACTTTTCCCGTCGCCAGATGCCATTGCGTGCACTTTCACTGTCAAGCAGAGAGTGAACGAGCGGAACAGGGAGGACGATGAGGATATGGAGAAGGAGCGGTGCGGGGAGGGCCCTTAGTCTCATCGGCTCGGCGCCGCATCCTGTGGCGGGCTGGGTCTTCGGGGCTCCCAGGACCGTGAGCCGTCTGGTACCCGCATGCTGTCTTCTAGGTTCACAGCGGTGCCGCCGCGGTCGGCAGCTGGGCCCCTCGGCCGTCCAACGCTTTTTGGTATCCTTCTGAGCCTGGTCATGCCCCCAGGTCCTTGGCCAGTGCACTAGACCATGCGAGGTCGTCGGCCACTGCGCTCCACGGATCCGTCGATTGGGTAGCCCGCCCCTACGGGGGGAGACTGTTTGGTTACACTTCCACTCCGTTCTTTGACACCAGTTAGATATTTGCTAGTCGCTCCTTCTGTCCGCCCCTAGATTCGCCTTTACGGGCAGTGATTCTGCGCTCCCTGAAACCCCGCCCTGTTGACCGGGTGGCACGCCAAGGCTGAATTGCCCAGGTGTGCGTCGTTTGCGCGTCGGCAGGCGGCATGGCCAAAGTGGCATCACCTTTGGCCAGCCACATCCGTAAGGGCTTCGCCGTCTGCCGCCGGCCCCCAGCTCTATAAGAATTGAGGCGCCTGGGCGCCGTCTTGAAGACATCTGGGAATCCACATTGAGATGTTCGGGCTATTCTTTAACACTTTGTGGCATGTTTTGAGTGTTCCCAGCGAGAATAGGATGACATGTATCAGGGATCCTGGCATCGGGAGCGCGATCCACGCGTAACAAAGGATTTTGGCGTCGAGAGCCCGAAAATGGTGTAATTTACACAGGCTTGTTTCTGACCTCGGGAGTGAGAATCTCGCGTAATGTACAAGGGATTATTTGGCCACGGGAGCGCGATCCCTGTGGATTTGCAAAGGATTCTGCGAATATGGTTTAATTTTCAGGCAAGCTTCTGGCCTCGTGAGCGCGAATCTCGTAAACTTTGCACGAGGATGCTGGCCTCGGGGGCGCAATTCTGGTGCAATTCAGGCAGGATTAGAGCCTCGGGGGCGAGAATTCAAGGAGTTCTGAGACCCCAGGCAAGGGACGGTGGCCAGGCTGGTGTTCGCTTCCCCCCGTCTTTCGCGCGGACAGTAGGGATATACAGTAGAGGACCGGAATTAGTATTAGAACAGTGGAAACTGAAGTCTGGAATTATCACAGGGAGCAGGAAACCTAAGCCGCGCAGCGTGACGGCCACACAAGGGGGCTGGCGAATTCAGTTATTAGCGAGAAACTGAGCTGCGCTGTCAGTGCGTTGCTGACTGTAGTTGCATGCAGTTGTGCGCTCCTTCACCTGAACGTTGGCATCTCAGCTTCACTTCGTTGGAGTCGTTTCAACTATTGCTTCCTGCACCTTGAGCCAGCTTGTCGCTCTAGTGCGTTGTGCGCCCTTGCCGTCGCGTGTTATTTGTTGTCATCCAGTGTGTGCGTGGCTTCTCTTAGTAATATTTGTTTGTCTTCTTGCAGCACGGGCGCCGTTACGACAAGTGTCGTCGAGCACGTCGGAATCCGCATCGCAGATGCTCGTACCAGCCGTGTAGTGCATCCATGTGGCATGTCATTGCATGGTTCGCGTACTAATACGTGGCGTAGTTTCGCTGAATGCACTCACCATGCGGGCTGAGGGAAAGCATCGCGCAGTCTGGCTCCACTCTTTCAGCCAGGACTGTCGTTCCCTGCAGCGTGGCCTTGCCCTGGGAGGCGCGGCTCTCGAGGCTGGCCCTGAGTTCCTGCCCCCTCTCGGGCGGGTGGTAAGGGGGGGTGACCTAAGGGGGGTGAAGAAAGTGGCTCCATAGGGGCTCCTTTGGGGCCCCTGCTGGCACAACAAAGGGGCCTCAAGGGTTCCTCCAGGGCCCTCTTTTTCTACCCCCGTTTAGGCCCCCCCCCCTTGCCGCCCGCCCGACCCTCCGGCTCACGACCCACGAGGCCGACGCCGAGCTCGAGCGGGAGTTCTGCGTGCTGACCGTGCGCACGTTTCGGCCTTTGCTTTGTGCTTCGTTTCGTCTTGGAGCCATCAGGGGGTCTGAGGTGGCCCAGCACTGGGCCCGGCCAGCAGGACGGGCAGGCATGTCAGAGGTTCTGGGCTTGGGACTGTTTTCTGCTCTTTTCAGCCTCGGGTCGCCGTTTTCGGGCCCCGGGACCGTGAAACGCGAATCTGGAGTGAGAAACGGGTCCTGGGACCGATATTGAGCGGACTCGGCTTCATCCGCTCTCCTGGCCGAGTTCCGGGGGCCCCAACCAATTCGTACCCCCCAGCAGCCTCCAAGTTGCCTTCTTCGGGGGTTGTTTGTCGCGTCTGTTTTCCTCTTTCCCCTCCTCCTTCTGGGGCAGCGAGGTGCGGTGCGGCAGCGCAGGGTTGCCCGCGGCCTACGCTCGCCTGCCGGGCATGTGCAGGCCCACCTGCGGCGTGCGCGAGGGCCCGCCGCAGGCCTGACCTCCCAGGCCGCTCCTTCCTTCGGTGGCAAGCCATGGGGAGCCTCGCGTACACCTGCACAAGGCCGTCTCTGTGGTGCAGCAGTGTCGACCAGCGCTTTTTTGGTAATCGATGAGACAGCGCCGATGTAGCTTCGACAAGCGTCGACTGGCGCTGATTCGCGTCGATGTAGCGTCGATACAGCGTTGGAAAGCGTCGATTCGCGAGTGCCTGCACGATAGTGTGGGAGGCTCCCATGAGTTGCCACCGGACCTTTTTTCTCGAGGCGCGCCGGAGGTCCTCATCTCACCGAGAAAATCACATCGTGCACAGATCACACAGTGTGAAGGAGCTGGCTCATGCAGTGGGCCATCCTGCCACTGCGATCGAGACTGCAGTAGCGAGGTAAGGATCCTCATGTCTCCCGCAGCGGAAGGGGATACCGGTCTGAGCTCGTCGTGAGGTCAGTCTCGCAGGCGTTGCAGGGGGGCCTCTCAAGTGGGTTCTGGGGGGCAAGAGGGGTGAGGCGGGACGCAGAGCCGAAGCAGAGAACGAAGTGGAGGACAATCACGCGGATGAGCAGGAGGAGGACGAACAGGAAACAAGGAAGGAAGAGGATGAGGAGGAGGAGGAGGAGGACCAGTGCAAGTCCAAGACTCATCAACGATATTGAAATGCACCCTCCCTCCAAGATCCCTCTTCATGGGCTCCTACAAGGATTCATTTCCACAGGGCATTGCCCCGTTGGGGGACAACCGTGTGAACATTCTGAAGTGCCGAAGCACCATTCGCAGGACTACAACGCCACTAGTTTACCTGACTGTTATGTCTTGGCGGTCCTGAATCGCGCCAGAGCACAATTCCTGGGACTTCAACACCGCGAATCAGTGTAACTGTTGCGCCCTGACAATCCCGAATCGCTCCAAAACACCATTTCTCACACGGTAATGATGACACTCAGTGAACCTCTTGCAAAGTGTTGCAACGAATGTGCGCGGTGCTGAGGCGAGAGCCACATTTTGGAAACGGCCCGCCCTCAATACGGGAAACCCTTGCAAAGTTTCAAAATGACTCTTTTTGAAACGGCCTGCCCTCAATACGTGAATCTTCTGCGAAGTTTTAAAACGACTGTGCGCGGCGCGAAGGCGAGAGCCACATGTTGGAAACCGCCCGCCCTCAATCCGTGAAACTCTTTCAGATATTGAACGATTGTCCTTGTCGCTAGGCATCATTTTGAAAACGGCCCGCCCTCAATCCGTGAAACTCTTTGTGAAGTTTTAAAGCGAGTGTGCGCGGCGCCGAGGCGAGAGCAACATTTTGAAAACGACCGCCCTCAATGCGTGAAGCTCTGACAAACTTCTACGACAAATGTGCGCGGTGCTGAGGCGAGAGCCACATGTTGAAGACGGCCCACATTTTGAAACCACCCGCCCTCAATATTTGAATATCTTGCAATTTGTGAAACGAATGTGCGCGGCGATAAGGCGAGAGCCACAGCTTGAAAACCCGCCCTCAATCCGTGAAACTGTCATCAATGTTTAAGCGCCGGGGTCACTCATTGTGATGAAGCCTTAGGGGGAACGCCCGGCCCGCCCTTTCGACCACCCTCGGGGTGCGACAGGGAGAAGTTATCTAGAAGGACAAGGAATGGAGGAGGAGGAGGAGGAGAAGGAGGAGGAGGAGATAAGTAAGGAGTAGAAGGAAAAGCAGAAGCATCAGGAGTCAGAGCAGGAGGAGGAACAGAAGGATGGAACGAATCAGAAGCATGAGAGGAGGTGGAGGAGGAGGAACAGGAGGAGGACGCAGGAGGAGGCGAAAAAGACTGAGGAGGAACAGGAGGTGGAGGAGGAGGAACAGGAGGTGGAGGAGGAGGAACAGGAGGAGGAGGGCGAGGAGGAGGCGAAAAAGACTTAGGATTACGACGGGGGGCGAGAGAGGGATGAGGGTCAGGGAGCGGAGGAGCAGAGCAGGTGGACGAGTCCGCTGAGGCGGAGGAGGATAATCCGGAAGCGGAAGAGCAGGAGCAGGAGAACAAGGAGTACAACGGATAACGAGGTTGATTATGTGGCTTACACGTTGTTGCGGCTTCTGGGTGCAGGGTGACGTATGCTTGCATTTATTTAATCGCTTCGCTCATTCCGCCGGCCCTCGAGCGCTCTATGGGGCCTCTTTGAAGCCTCTTGGGGGCCTCTTTGGGGCCTCCTAGGGGCCTCTTGGGGGCCTCTTGGGGGTCTCTTGGGGCTCCTTGGCGGCGTCTTGGGCCCCCCTTGGGCCTCTTGGGTGGCTCTTCGGGGCCTCTTGGGGCGGGGTAGTCGAGTGCACCCCCCTCGGAGGCCACGATCCTCGTGAGGGGTGTCGACAAAAAGGCCCTCAAAACCATCTCTGATCCGACCCTGCCGGGGATCGCCCCGGGTACTTTTCGCCGGGGGACCCCCGGGGGCCGCTCCGCGCGCGCGAACTAGAAGTATTATTGTGCAGTTACCGGAGATCTTAGCACGCCTCTGGCCCGTTGGGCCGGCGAATATATCTAGTGGCCTTCGGTCCATCCCGCCACCATGCCTGAGCTGAGGTTCAGAGGCCTCTTGAATGTTTGTTGGGATCTCGTGAGGAGCCTCTCGAGGGCCTGCCCGAGGCAGTTTGGAGGCCTTTGGCAAGCTGTTGTGGGGCCTCTTTTGAGCCTCTTGGGGGTCTCTTGGGGGCATCTTGGGGCCCCTTGGGGGCCTCTTGGGTCTCCCGGGGGCCTCTTGGGTCTCCCGGGGGCCTCCTGAGGCGGAAAACTCTAAATTTCGGTTCGTGGTCCCCTTCTTGGGCCCTTCTTGGGCCCCTCTTGGGGCCCTCCTGGGGCCCTCTTGGGGCGTCTTTGGGCCTTCTTGGGGGCCTCTTGCGCCGTCTTGTGGCGGCTCCACCGACGGCCCCAGTGGCAGGGATCGCATGGTGGCCCCGCCTCATTTCGGTACACCCCTCACACGTTTCGTGGCCCCATAGGGAGCTCCACGGAAGGCCCCAGTGGCAGGGTTCGCATGGCGGCCCCGCCCGATTTCGAAACACCCCTCACACGCTTCGTGGCCCCATAGGGAGCTCCACCGAAGGCCCCAGTGACGGGGTTCGCATGGCGGCTAAAGAGTTCCGCCGAAGACCCCAGTGGCAGGATTCGCATGGCGGCCCCGCCCGATTCCGACACACCCCTCACACGTTTCGTGGCCCCATAGGGAGCTCCACCGATAGCTGTATTCATCATGCGGTACTCAGTTAGTTAGACCCTTCGCCAGGATAATGTTTGTTTGATAGGGATGGTGGGGGGCTGGTCGTCATGGTGTCCTCATGGTTCCTGGTTGGACGCCGGTGCCCTGGGGGAGGGGGTGTACATCAAGAAGGAACAATGGTAGGGGAAGGAGGGGTTCTGGAAAGAGACAAGACAAAGTTCGTTGAACCATCTAAGCTCTGAGGGCTGGTGGGACTTCGCAGGAGCTGGGAGGGAGGAATTGTTTAGGAGAGGAGGAGGAGGAGGAGGAGGAGGAGGAGGAGGGAGGAGGAGGAGGAGGAGGAGGAGGAGGAGGAGGAGGAGGAGGGGGAGGGAGGAGGAGGAGGAGGAGGGGGAGGGGAGGAGGAGGAGGAGGAGGAGGAGGAGGAGGAGGGGGAGGAGGAGGAGGAGGAGGGGGGGGGGAGGAGGGGGAGGAGGAGGGGGAGGGGGGGGGGGAGGAGGGGGTAGGGGGAGGGGAGGGGGAGGGGGAGGGAGGGAGGGGGAGGGGGAGGGGGAGGGGGAGGGGGAGGGGGGGGGGAAGGGGGAGAGGAGGGGAGGAGGAGGAGGAGGAGGAGGAGGAGGAGGAGGGAGGAGGAGAGGAGGAGGAGGAGGAGGAGGAGGGCGGGAGGAGGTGGGGGAGGGGGAGGGGAGAGGAGGGGGGGGGGGAGGGGGAGGGGGATGGAGGGGGGAGGGAGGGAGGAGGAGAGGAGGAGGAGGAGGAGGGAGGAGGAGAGGAGGAGGAGGAGGAGGAGGGAGGAGGAGGAGGGGAGGAGGAGGAGGAGGAGGAGGAGGAGGAGAGGAGGAGGAGGAGGCGGAGGAGGAGGAGGAGGAGGAGGAGGAGGAGGAGGAGGAGGAGGAGGAGGAGGAGGAGGAGGAGGGGGGGGGGGGGGGGAGGAGGAGGAGGTGGAGGAGGAGGAGGAGGAGGAGGAGGAGGAGGAGGAGGAGGAGGAGGAGGAGGAGGAGGAGGAGGAGGAGGAGGGGAGGAGGAGGAGGAGGAGGAGGAGGAGGAGGAGGAGGAGGAGGCGGAGGCGGAGGCGGAGGCGGAGGCGGAGGGGAGGCGGAGGAGGAGGAGGAGGAGGAGGAGGAGGAGGAGGAGGAGGAGGAGGAGGAGGAGGGTACGTAGGAGGAGTTGGGAGGGAGGAGTTGTTCGGGAGCGGAAAGGAAGGAGGGAAGAGGAGACGGAGGATAAGGAGGAGGAGGCGGAGGAGGAGGAGGAGGAGGAGGTGCAGGAGGAGGAAGAGGAAGGAGGAGGCCCGAGGAGCACTTGCTCGGGACAGTGCCCGAACGACGTGTTGAAGCCGGGCCTCGCCTTTGACTTCGACGAGATCAAGCCGGGCCACCCAGGCCTTGCCCATCCTACGAGGAGCAGGGGGAGGAGGCAGAGAAGAACCTCCCTCCTGACGCGTCCCTTTGTCCGATGCTGCCGCCTCCTCCTGCGCCCTGTGTTAGAGCACGCCGAGCCTTTGCCCCCGAGGTCCTGCAGGGCACGTTGTGCGTCCCCCTCCGCCGAGTGCCGGCCCCCGCGCGCGCGCACCAGCGCGCCCGCTCGCGCGGCGGACCGCGCCCCGAGAGAGAGAGAGAGAGAGAGCCTGCCCACAGCGGCGCGCACGCGCTGTGGTCCTCCTGCCTCCCACGTCCTGACCGCTTACGCCGCACTCGAAGCACACTGCGCGCCTCCGTGCTACCTCCTCCGCCTCCTCCTCCTCCCTCCGGTTCTCCCCCTTTTTTCCTCCCCCTCCTTCTCCTCGTCCTCCTCCTCGTCCTCTTCCTCCTCCTCCTC